GGAGACTGGGCTTCACAAACAGCCCAGGGAGAATCCCCCAGGTAGGGAAAGGACTGTGCCAATGAGATTTTCACTGGCATGGGTAAGAGACGGCAGAGAAGGATGAACCGTAAGAGTGTCCGTCTCCAGCTCTCCACTGCCTGGCCCCAGCCCACCCCCAGCCCCATGAAGGTGTTTGATGTCCAGGGCTGGGCCCAGCTCCTTGGCTGGGGGTGTGCAGTGGTGGCCTGGCTTCCCACTCAGCCCTCAGCTTCCCCAGCTGCCAATGCTCCCTGCTAATTCCCTTCTCACTCACTTCATAGAGTGGGAGTGTAGCAAAAGTACAAACCTATGTTTAAGCCATTGCCTGCATTTGGACCTCTCCTTCCAGCCCATTTCTAACTGCAGTGCTTAAATCCCACAGATTTTCACTGCTAGCTGGTCACAGCGTTCCTTGATGTGCTTTTGAATCAGATGAACTGAAATAATTCTGTGAGATCTGTTATGTCTCTGGCCTGTAAAATATAATAATTTCTTACTGGGTTACACTAATATTTCGTAATTCATTCTTAATATTATTCTTCAATAAAGCTCTATGCAAACAGTCTATCCCAGAGGAGGAACTTCTGCCAGATCCCAGATGTCAAACACATTTGCTTCAAATACAGGAGTTCATGACCTTTTATGTTTGTTAATGTGACGCCATGGAAATTATTTATAATAAATAAGCATATTTCAGAGTCAGGTGCTCCATGGGCTCTTTTTCAGTGATACAACAACCTTTCCTGAAACAGGTCTTTCCTGTTTTGTTGTGGGGTTTTTTCCCCTAACCATAAAGGTTTGGGAACAGTTTGAAACCCTGTTATTGAACTAAGTCCAACTATTGCACTGAAAGGTAGACAGGAACTCTTAAGAAAACTCATCTTTCAAATCTTTCTTGAAACCAGCAACAGATAAGGCTCTACCTTTCTCTTATCCTTTACCCTGAAAATACAATTTTCAAACTGCAGACTGTATGGATCCAGACAAACACTAAATACATTGCTTTACAGAACTGAAACAAAGAGGAAACTACTGGAATTGTTTAGATCCAAATGACACATCTGATATGCCAACTGACTTTTGCATGTAGAAAGCTCATTTTAAAGCTGGAATAGCACCATGTACTCACAATCTTTCAGGTATAAGGGCTCTAGAAAATATCTGAAGGTGTCAATATGTTGATAATATTTAACCTTATCTTTTTGCAGCAGATGTGACAATACCTTCCTAAAACTGTGCCGGATTAAGAGTATCTGCCTCTTAATGAAGCCAAGAGAGAAAAGGATGCAATTGGAAAACACTGGACAGCATGTCTTTGCTCTGTTTCATCCTTTTCTCAACCGTACCTAAAGGTTTATAAGTCCTCCTGAATTTACTGGACTCATTATCTTGGATTCCTAGACACTAGCAGCAGCAAGAAATGCAGCCTGAGGATGAGATGGAAACTCTTGCTCCTGCATAAATATGCACCTCCAGTCCCTCCTGTTCATCACTCCAGGCAGAAGCTGATGGTCTGCCCAGAACAGCACCCTTGTGCCTCAGCGATTATCCACCCTGAAACCTCTCCTTGTCTTCAGTTAGTTTGGGCCTGGCAGGCATTTATGATGCTGAAAACCACTATGTAGCTTAGAACCAACTGTGCAGCTCAAACAGATGTGGGGCTGGCTGTGGAGAGACAGGACCAAAGTGTTCTGGTGAATGAAGGATGAGCCCTCCTTGGATTTATAATCAGAATGTATTAATGATGTGTGTGCACAAAGAAAATCTACTTACAGCATATGGCAAGACATAACAAGCCAGCAAATCTGTTTTCAAATTCACAGTACATCAAATCTGAATGAGATAAAGAGAAGGTCTAATTTAAACAGCAAAGTACCTCCATAAAATTGCTCCTCTGGGCGTTGTAGCAACATTTTCAAGCAGTGCTGGACATTGTGCAATAAAGCTGTCCCTCTGCAGTTCTGTGGGAAGAGACAACAGGCTGCAGTCTCAGATGGTGGACAGAATTACAACAGATTATGTCAAGAAAGCGCGATGTTGAACATTCATTTGATAAAAGGAGAAAACAAACAGTCACGAACTGAATTACAGCAGCTTTCTATAATGAAGTGTGTGAACCCCACCCAGCATCTGTGGCAGAGGAGGGAAGGTGTCAGCTAAACCCAAAGGTTATGATGGGAATGGAAAAAAACAGGCTCCAGCTGAGAGTAGGACAAGGAGGATGAGGAAACAGTTTCATGTTTCTCCCAGTACAACCTCAAGGGATAAAGATTTCTGCTGCAAAAACTTTAATAGTAGTAAAATCCTCTGGCTGCAGAAGTTGTTTGTAATGAAGGTGTATTAACCGCTTAAAGACTTCAGCTGAAAAGTACTCTGCTATTTCACTGAAATCTAAGTTGAAAAATCCTTCTTTTCTCTCACAAAGCCTCTGCCTCAGAAAACCTAATTTAGTGGCTACACATGGAGTTTGGCTATGAGACGTTGTAGGCTGTGTGCTGGACTTATCCTGATAAGGCCTTGGCTTTTGGGTCCTGACAGCTGACCTCATCACTTGGCTATTGCAATATATTTTAATGATTTTAACTCTCATCATAAGTACATCACTTGATATTAGTTCCTGAAAGTAAAATATTTCATATGCAGTAGTGTTAGATGCTTACTTGCTCTGACAGATTTTCAGAAGAGCTGGGTAAGTGTTTGCAATCATCAACTGCTTGATTTCATGTAAGCCTTTGTAAACTAGGCAAGAACTACTATGCAATTATCTTTTCCACTTCTGTATTTGAAAGATTTCAGTGTCCTCTGTGCAAACATTGATTCAACCTCTGAACCTCTTGATTTTTAACATGGAAGTTGGCACGATTCAGTAAGTGTGCACAAGTGGTAGGATCAGGGTTCTGATGCAAAGGATCAGAGGGAGAATTCAGGCTGGATTTGTGCAAAGCTGCAGCCTCCATCAGCATACCTCCTGAAAACTGTTCACTGGAATACTTGCACAAAGTGAAGAAAAAGGGTCTTAATCTATTTGAAAGTGTTTGCAGATGTAAGTAATTACTCAAGAACATTGTGTCAGTATTTATACATGGGGAGTTTTATTGCTTCACGTCTAGTTTCTAAAGATTTGAGGCCCAGAGCTGATAAAATGCACTCCTGCTTGTAGCTACTTCTGGCTACTCCTCTTTCACCATGAAAAACACTGGCACATTGTAATCCAATAGCACAAACAGCCTCAGCAACAAGTGAACAAATCTGCTGTGCAGCAGTTCAAAACAGATGAGACAGGCCTCGCTGGGGAATACGAGAGGTGAAGCGTAGCCCAGACTAATAAATTCTCCTCTATTGGCCCTGCATGGGTCTGCTGAAGAATCTCAGCCCTGGATCTCCTGGAGCTGAGAGCGCTGTGGTTTGGCAGAGCCAGCCAAAAACAGGCCAGTTTATTAGCTTGGTCTCAGTACCGGGGGTGCCCTGGGTGGAGGCCACATGAGGAGAACGAGGAGCTGCAGAGCACCAGGAACTAGTGAGGATGAGTAGTTGCAATGGCAGCCTGGGGTGGACACAGAGAAGACAGGGGCTGAGAGCAGGCATCTGTGAGGCATGGGAACATCACCAGGTTTCTCAAGAAGGATTTAGTTACAGAAAGATCAGCAAGTGCTAGAGCAGAGCATAGCACATTCTTGATGCTGCCAGGAGGTTGGCAGGGAAGGAAGATCATATTTGCAGCTTGACACAGAGGTCTGAGGAGCAAAAAACAGAGGTAAATTGGTTTCACTACTGATCTCAAACTAGATTTGTTTGGAACAAGAATCTTCTAAGGGGGGGGGGGAGGTTTGTTTTCCATCCCAACTAAAAAAATCATAACACAGTAATGCTCTCCCTCTCCATACAAGACCAGGTTGTCCGCATCCCTTACTGTGTGCAGCTGCATTTTGTGCTTATTGACATTTAATTCCCAATTTTCAAGCAGCTGAAGGCAGACTGAAAGGTGTGTCCCAAATCATGAAAAGAGCCACAGAGATATGAGAAGGGACCCCCTCAAAGTACAGAGCACAGCCTTGCCCTGATTAAGAAGGAAACTAGTATTGCAAACTGTTTGTTTTTCCTTTAACTGACTTATCAAAAATACTATTTTTAGTGTCCTTTCCTTCATCAGAGAGGCAACCTGCAGTCACAAAGGCTGGCTGCTACTGCACTGCCAACTCCAGCAGCTGGAGAGCTGCTCAGGCAGGACTGGAAGTCAGTGAGAGCCTGAAAAACCTTTGAGCATGAAAATGCTGACGTAATTTGATAGCAGCAAACTGCATACAGGGACCTTATCAGTAATTAAACAACACACTTCTATGAACAGTGTAAATAAAGCTGTTCGACCATGTAAATTAATTTAGTGAGATGCCTTGAAATGGGTGTTTAATGTGCACCTCAGGACTCAGATAATTCTGGAAGCATACCAGGTTACTCGTATTTTTTTAAAATAGTGACCACATATAATCTCCTGAGCTTCATTAACAGGAATCAGAGCTACTCAGCTATATGATACCCAGTACTTGCGACTGGCTCTGTGCAGAGATGAACAGAGATGCTTTGTTAGCTCAAACACTATGAGTCTGTGCTTTTGGCAGAGGGTCTCCCCTTGCAGTGGCTCTGGAGCTCGAAGTAGCTGTGTTATATTGCATGAGGACAGGCATGAAATTCTTAATTAGCAGCAGGTCTGTGGCGCTATTAAATTTTAAATGAAAAATATTGTAATAGAAAAACTACAGTCGTGGTGGATGGGGAATCCACCAAAGACCTCAAACCAAGAGCTATTAGAGTGACTGTGCAGAACTTCAGACTGGAAATGCTCATGTTCTCAGAGTGTAAACAGCATTTATTTGGGGAAATATACCCCATTTCCTACTCATGCAGTCCCACCTTCTGCTCTTATTTGCCTCCAGGGGTATTTTAGCACTTCTAGTTATCAAAAACTGGAATCGAGGTCACCTTGAGCCTCCCAGAACTTTTTCCTTCCAGCAAGAAAACTTCCAAACCAGAATTTCCTGCTGAAATTTCTGAACCAATCCCCTGTGTGTGATCCCTAAATTACCCTACCGACTATACACTCTTGGGGCAGGGGCTTCCTCATGTGTCCATATAAAGCCTTACTAAAGGGATCCGCATTCAAACTAGACATGCCATTTTCTAAGAACATTGTAAAACATGAAAAATTCGCCTTTTCTCTCTGAAACAGACGCCTGGTTGTGCTTCTAGCAAAGCGAGGGGCAGCTCTGGCACGGACTTCGCAGGTGTCACGGTCCAGCAAGCGACAACGAAGAGTCACGGGCAGCCATTGGGAGGCAAGTCTGCCCCAGTGAGTGGCTCTGGCGAGGCGGGAGAGTCCCAGGGCGGCGGGGAAACTCCCCCTCCGCGATTGGGATCGGTGAGTAAGCGCTGTGGGAGCGCACCTGGCGGGCCGGGCGGGCGGCGGGGCCGGCAGTGCCCGCTGTGAAGGGCAGGCGGGGGCCGGGCGGGAGGGAGGCAGAGCAGCCAGGGCAGAGCCCCGGGCAGGGCAGCGCAGGAGCTCCGCCGGGCAGGAGGCGGCCGCGAGCGGGCAGAGGGGCGGCCGGGAGCCCTCCCAGCAGGTACCGGGGAGCGGGAAGGGGAGCGGGAAGGGGAGCGGGAGGGGTAGCGGGAGGCTCGGGCAGCCCCCGCCCGGGGGCCGCGGACAAGGGGCGGACAAGGGGCCGCAGGAGCTGCCCCGGCGGTGGCGGCCGCGTGGGTCTTGTGTGTTTCCTGTCAGCTTTGAGAAATGAAAGCAGGTAGAAAAATAGGAACTGTTTCGAAGTAGTCTGGCGTTCAATCTTCATGTAAGTTAGGTCCGAGGTTAAGTTGCACTTAAAACGGTTTCAGGCTGGGATTCCTGTATGAAAATGCCCTTGTAAAATCCAGATTTTCGGTGTGAATTAACAGCTAAGCATTGCCATAGGCCAGCAATAGCTAACTAGATCACCTTCTGTAAGAACACTTGAGGTAATTAGAGATGTGGTTTAGCCAAAACTCAGAAGGAAGTTGTGAATATAGTTAGACAGAGTTTCCCTTTTGTATGGAGTGAAATTAGCATCAGAAAATACATATTTACTGAAGTTATAGCCTGCTGTATCCAAGAGCACTGCTAAAGCAGCAGTTGTGATTGTAAGCAGTTTCAAACTGTCCTGTTCAGAGTGTACTTTTTGAATGCATACCATAAGGCTGGATTCCTGGGTGTGTAAGCTCACTCCTTATTAAACAGCAGTCTGAAATAAATATCGTCTTAAATTAAGCTGGTCTTGTAACTTTCCTTTGATGTGGAAACATGCCCAGTGTCTCATGTGATGCATTTCTCTCGATAAGAATGGAAAGGTTGATATTGGGACCGTTCCTGCAAGGTAGACTTCCATTCAGTGCCGCTGTAACTGTGCACAAAGAGAACAGGACCTCGAGGGACTTGTGCTAGGCCACAGCTGTCAAGTGCCTGGACATCTCAATGATCCTGTAAGCACCCATACCTCGGAGCTAGATCCTTGCAGTCCTAACCCTTGGTCTCTGAGCTGGGCAGGCTCAGGTTTTTCCCAGTGATATTTGCTGAATGCATTGAGGTCTGATGCTTGATGTGCCTTTAGTTTTTGTAGTGTTGATTAGTTAGGTGACCAAGCTGTCCAGGCATCCAGAAATAAGGTATTCCTTGACAAGTTGCTCTTGGAGAGCCCAAGTGTCTTTAGGTTACATATAGATGATCAGGACCACTTAAAAAACATATAAGGGAATACACTGCTAGGCGTTTTTCCCCCTCCTTATTCTTTCTAGGTTTTGTCTATAGCTGTTAGACAGATGTGAAGAGTCAAGTTCTGAATTTGCCTCTTTCATTTCTCAAGAGAGTGCTGTTCTGAGCTGGTGGTCTCTGGCTCCTTTCTTATGAAACTGTTTTTGCCTGGCTTTCAGTACAGAAATATTCATTAGGTGAGCTGTGATCTTACAAGTCGGTGGCTAGGGAATGAATCCAGAAGTGAGGAAGTTTGATTTCTAGTCCTTTGTCCAACTGTATGTTAAATATTAAAATATATATTTGCAGAATACATGTGGTTAAGCAATATTTAATTTCAAGAAAAATATATTTATTATTAAAGTGTCCCTTGATTCTTGCAAATATTTATAAAAATGACACCTACTAAATACACTGTACCCGAAGGGTATGTTGGACTGACTCCACAGATGTCACATGAATTCCACAGCCCTTCCCTGCATTTAATTTAGATGATGGATCCCCAGGTGGTTAATTCCTCTTTCTTCCTGTGCTATGGAAAGAATGAATGTGGGCAGGATTGTTCAGTCAGTCATGTGTATGTGTAGGCTATTAATTCACAGTGTTGGGAAAAAAGCTCAGGCACTGGTCTCTTTTTCTTTGTCCTAATCATTAGGCTTAGTCGTTTTACTTGCTTGTTCTGTCACTTGTTTAGTATCAGCTGGTTTGCTTTTCACTCACCCTCTGTTCATTGTACTCCTAGGTGGTTTACTCTCAGTTGTACGTTACTCTAAATGCGCTCCCCAGGGTTGTGGGTTGGCTGTGAAAAGGACAGTCCTGCTCTGGCCCTTTGTTTTCCCCACTGCATTCTGACCCCACCTTGTGCAGTCAACCGCAGGGAGAGTTGGAAAACTGCTTTTTTTTTAAAAAAAAAAAAAAAAAAAAAAAAAAAAAGGTTGTTTATTCTGGTCATTTAATTTTGTATCTAATCAGTGAGCTGGGCCAACTCACTGTGCAGCTGCATGTTTACTGGATCCCACAGGAATGGCTGTTGGCAAGGGAGAGCAGAACTGCCCCTCTGGTAGCAGCCAGTGCTTTAAGCAAGTTCAGGACAGGCAGATGCAGCCCCCATGTGTGGTGGGCAGAGCCAGAGGATCTGCCTTAGAAAGGACAGCCTCAGCTAGAAAGCCAGGCTTTGGCTAGCTTAGGCCTCCTGTCTTCCAGTAAATCCTACCTGCTGTGGCTTATACGAGAAATACCTCTGACTTTGGTGGAATATTTATTGAACTTGTTTGCTTGATTAAGATGTTATTTACTTCATTTAGTGAATTTTATGTGAAGCATATCCTGACCTATTATTGCTCCCCTCTTCAGACTCTTGTTTAATTTTATGAAAGAATTGCTTTGTTTACTCTGAATTGCTATCTCCCTAGATACCTTAAATCTGGTAAATATTCTCAATGTAATCTAAGTAGGACAACACCCAATCTCTGTCAGCAGAGAATTTAAGATCTCGTCTCTTAAAAGTGAAAGGCAAAGCAAGCTCTGACTTTCAGTAGGACAGGCTCTGTTTGAGTTAAGCCATGTTGTCATTCCAGTTAGTAATGCTGTTCAGACTCAATCAGAAAGATTGCTTATGTTGAGAAAAATTAGGCTGATCGCGTTTTGCAGCCAGGATGAATCTTCCAACCTAAACCAAGGAGCCTCATGTGGGAAGAGGTTCAAAACCTGGATTTGGTTGAGCTCATCTGTGTTGCATCATATTCCTTACTAATCTTAATACATCAAACTATGCAGAATTAGTGAGGATGCTTCTCTGAAGCTTAGCACGAGTATTTGTTTGCCTGTCATTGCAGCTGAAGTTTACCCTAATTCAGTGCCAAAAAAAAAATTATATCAGCAATCTGATGCTTATCTTTCCTGTAAATTGTACCCTGGTGATTTTGTTTTGAATCTTTGTTTTTCGGTGATCTAATAGCCACACTTAAACTGGAGAGAACAGCTAATTAGGTCCCAAATGAAAGCCCTTGATGTTTTGGGGGTTCTTGTAATTATTGCAATGAGTTTTGGATCTGGCCTGAAGGGCAAGTTCTGGAGATGCTCCTTCAGCAGTTAAACCAGCTTTGAAGTCCAAAAACGCACCATGTCCCAGTGACCTCAAAACCTATGAGGCACTCTTGTTGATTTAGCACCTGTGCTTTGGAGCCTGGAAGGTGGATGTCAGATGGTGCAGTGTGCTGCAGCCTGGGAAGTGGATACCTGGCTCCCTGCCCAGCTCCCCTGGGCACCATGCTGGGCCCCAGAACGGTGGAACAGCCTCATCAGCACATTGTGCTTGGGATACATTAATGCACATCTGAAGCATGGAGAGCTAGAAGGTTGCTTGGCTTTTGTGTGAAAACCTCATCATCAGAGCTGTGGGAGGGTCTTCTGCCTGCATGGAGCTCTCACACCTCTGGGCCGAGGGGCTGCACGTGGCTTTGTCCACCCTGCTTGTTGAAGCTGGGTCAGGGTGTTTAATGTGGCCAGAAATGGCCCAGCCCTTGACCAGGGCTTGGCAGGGGCTGGAGGAGGCAGATAAAAAGGGGGCTAAGGATGAGTTCTCTTTAAAAGTTCAGGTATCCAGTCTGCTGTGCGTGCGTGTCTTCCAGTGAGGAAAGTGCCTGCCATGCAGAGAGAGGAGGGTTAGCTGGAATGAGGTTTAAAAGTTGCTTGAGCTAGCAGCGTCTTTGTGGTTAGTGGTGAACTGATACAAAAACAAGTTGTGTTTCCTGTTTCTGAGAGAAATTGTGTTTAACAAAACATTTTCAAGGCCAGTTTCATTTTGCAGTAGAGGAAAATTCTAAAACTTTTAATTCTGGGTTGGATTCATTGAGGCTTTTTTCTCCACCATTTACTTTTGCAAAAGGGAATTGTTGGCCTCTAGACTGGGAACTCTCTGTGAGTTTCCCATTCAGGTTCTCTGTCTGTTCAGCAGTGACTTGAGTAGCTAAAAATTTTCTTCTGTGATGTCTTGATTAAACACAGACCATCTCCCTGAATTGTCCTGACTTTCATTCAGTTCAGTGGTATGTGTATTTCCAGATCTGGTTTCAGCAACGTGTGAAAGTCATGGGTCCAAATTCTCTTGTGAAGAGTGTTGATTTAAACTCAATAGGATTAAAAAAACACCTTATATTCATGCTGTAGCTGTTGTTCACTGTGTTGTAAAGCAAATCTGTCAGAAGGGAAAAAAGAGAATGATGAGTTCATGCTGCCAAGTTCTGTTCTCATGACCTCTCTCTTTTCAGGAGAGTCCCACCACCATCTCCCACAGTTGTAGCAGCATTTGGCCAGTAATGACTGGGATGTTAGATACTGCCGTTAAATTGAGACTGTTCTGATTGCTGCTGGTTTCTCCCAATGTCTATACAAACTCCTTTAAAAAATGTGCCTGGTTACCACTTATCTGCCTGGGTAGCTGCCAGCTACTCCAGACAGTATAGCTCTCCAAGAGACACTGGTGGGGCTGGTAAATGTTGTTCTGTGTCCCTGGTCTGGGTGGATTTAATGCAAAAAGTAATAAATAGTGGTACCTTATAAAGGCAGGATTC